TGATTTTAAATAAATCAGAAATATAACAAGAGATATTTGTGTTAAAAATATTTTGCCTTAATATTTGTAATTTTATCAATTTAAGCTATTGAAGTCTTTACAATGTTCATTTGAAATTTATTTTAGAACAAAACACTCTACAATTACAATGTAGTAATAGATTTCAATAAAACTGAAAAGTTACCAAGCATAATAAATATTATTCCACCAACTGTGGAAAGTTTTCAAGATTTATTTGCATAATAAAATCTAGTCAAGACGGCTCATGCACCTAGCCTTACTATAGGCTAAATGAGAGTTTTTTAAAATGGTGTGTTGAGACACTTTAATGGAATTAATTACCTGTCCTTTCCATGATTATTAACTTAATATTTCATTGAATTATATATACAATAATTTTTTGTGCAATATACATTTTTCCCAGATTTTTAGGCCTAAAAATTAGGAATGAGTATTATACAAAAGAACTAAATATTGACTTTTTTTTGGTCACATACATTAACACATTTAGTGTGGTATGACCAAAAGTAAGTTATATCTATAGTCTAAAGTAACTAATATGGAACAGAGTTTAAAATCACTAAACAAACACTGTATTTGTTTTTTAAAAAATTATTCATATATATTAAACACATTAAGTTTGATTCAATGCTGTCCATGTAGACACAATAACGGGTTCATCTATGTTGTTAGCTTAGTAGATGTCATCATTTTCAGTGTCAATGTCTCCAGTAAGCTGTTTTTGAAATTTGCAGACAATTTCTGCCATGCGAGTTTGGCAACAAACCAATAAATTGTCTCTTTATAATTGATGACCCACCCAATACTGGTTATGAAGTTGTCAGGTGTTGTCAAGATAGCTTTCTTTGTGATGTCCAGTACATGTCAGTTGTGTTAATTCCAATGTCAGTCATTCTGCATTCTTTTACCTTCTTAATCAGGTCTTCTTCAAACTACATGCTATTTTCTTCAAGCATATGCTATTTTCTTTCTTTTGATAAACAACACCTGACAGAGTTTAGCAGAGGAAAATATGAGCAGTCATGTCACAACTGACTGCAATTCACTGATAAATGGTAGAAACATTTTGGTTCCATTATATGCTGTGTGCAGACATAGTAATAATGTCCACTCCAGTTTTATATCACTACAAAGAAATAGCCACTGAAATATGTTTATAATTTTCTTTCTTCTTATTTTCATCAGTTTTGTTACATTTTTGTGCGAGCATGTCTATGTATTTGCTCTAGATAGTGTAAAACTTGCTTCAAAATAGAATGTAAATTATATAAATTCTTATTTCTTTCTACTTCATGTTGATGGAAAACATTAGCCTAAGAAAGCAGAGTGAAACTCTCCATGAGGTTAGCATCAGCCATGCTGATGGAAGGCAAAAAATATTCTCTAAGACAATTAAAAGGGCAGTTTTGATTTGGAAGTGTTGAAATTAACAAGCCATTTCTTGCCTCAGTTAACCACTGATTGAAGGTCATTTTTTAGATAAGTTTTGACGTCATTGAACCGATCAAACTTATCATTAAGACAGGAGTAAATAGTTGTGTCATCAGCATTGTTAAATCTACATAGAAGCTAATTGTATTTAAATCAGCAGCAGGAGGCTTGACACCACTGCTGGTTAAAAGTTGTTCAATCCTGGAGCTCTATTTAAGCTATGCCAATTTCTCCTTTGTCAGGTGCCTGGTGAAATCTTGTCACTTGGAACAAGAAATTGCTGTTGTTATTCACTTCTTTTGAATTTTGTATTTGCTCTTACAAGCATAAATAATGAATTGAGAACTTATGATGTTGAGGTCATTGATGAAAATTAAAAACAAAAGTCCAAGGATAGAACCCTGGGGGACACCTGCATTAATGCAAAAATATCTAGAAGAGTGGCTATTCAAGACAACTTTCATTTCCTGATTTGATAAGAAAGATCGAATTGAATCAAAAATTCATCCAAAAATGCCATAACCTTTCAACTTGTGAAGAAGACCAGCATACTAAACACTTTTAAATGCCTTCAAGATATCAAAAGTAACAGCCTGAGCTTACCTAAAGCTTAAGTGACTCTTTCAGCCATAACTGCTAACACATCAGCAGTTAATCTAGAGAAGTGAATACTATATTACTTGTCTAAAAGAAAACCCTGCAAGGTGAAATGCTTAACCAGCCTCTAGTACTTTACCAAAAAGAAATTGAGGAATAAAAAGTCAGGATCAGACCATTTGCCTTAAAAACTAGAACTACAGAAGAGGATTTCCAACCAGCAGGAAAGCAAGAAGCAGCAAAGTATTTATTGTAAAGAATGGGAACCAGTTCAGGAACACATTTCTTAAGGACTATTGCAGGGATGCCATCAAGTCCATATGCTTTGTGGGAATTCAGTTTATAGATGATAGCAGAAACCAAGGACAATTATATGCATATTGTGTTTTAAACAGTAATATATTTAGTTTTACTAATATTGGGTACATTCAGGTATCATGAAGCTGTGTCACTTTTTGGTGGTTGTTGTGCGTGTGTGTGTGTTTTTATACAATTTTTAATAAATGGTTAAATGAAATGCACATATCTGAGTTGTCGCTAATGAAGCCATTATGAACCCACACAAATTCTCATAAAACACATCTCATACAATGGAAAGTCCAAACTGAGTATAAAATCAAAAAAAGATACTTCAGATGAATCAAGAGTTGAATTAGAAGAGAATGTAGGAGCAAAACATTATGATAAAGCAAAATGTTTTACACCTACACCTCAAATGGAGTATTGTGCATATTTTGTTATAAAAAAATTCACCGCCAAATCAAAGACACACATTCCACTTTCATGTGTGGCTATTATTTGTTTTTTTGCTTCAATTTTTCTCAAAAACATTGTTTGAGAATCCATTTATTCAAGATAAGTGATGTTTGAGAATCAAGGTTCTACCGTAGTAGAAAAGATGTTCAAAGTGAATTGTTTGAGGTTTGTAACAAAATAGCATCAAGTGCCGAAAAGATGTAGACTGATCAAAGTTAATAATAAATAACATAATAAATGAACGCTTATTCTTTAATGTATAATTTAAATGAATCTCTTAAAACTACTTGAACAACAAAGCCGGTACATATACATTAAACAAACAGAATGTTATTTGATTAATTTTTTTTTTTTTTATAAAAAGTTTCTAAGAATAGCTCTAAGTAGAATTCTTCATGATTTATCTGTATTTAAATAACTTCATTTTTTTCAACAAGAAATGTTAATGCAAAAACCATGAGTTTATCTGTTACACATGGTTATCATCTTAGTCATCTCTTAAAAAAAAAAAAAAAAAATTGGTTGGATCAATATTTTTTTCTGTACAATATTTAAAAATTTGGTGTAACCCAAAAGAGATTTGCTCATTTAGAGTGTTTGTCATTCAATGATTTTTATTAATGAATGTTCAGTAATTACATGTATTTATAACTTACAATTTTTTTTTTTTTTTTAAATCGGTATCACCCCATGCAAGGCAGTAAAGCCACTAAAACACAAGGGGTATGGAAGAACTAAGAACAGAAACATTAATAATGAGCAGAAAGAGAAAAAGAATAATCAGGAGGACAGTAGATAGCATTTTTGACATTGCATTTAAATTTTTGCAGATTAAAGTTGGCTGGAAAGCATGGAGCCAGAAGGAAGTTCCAAAAGTGAGAAAAGAAACTGTTAGCATAGAATTTCTGACTACATCTAGCCAGCTCAACTGTCAATTGATGAGATTTCGATGCCAGTCTAATGCTGTGCTTAAATTCATGAAGTCTAGGTACCATAGTCATCTGAACAATTACCATGAAAGTATTTATAGAAAAGGCAGAGAAGCAACTTTACAGCAGTGAGTAAGTGACTGAAGTCAAGATACCAGATCGGGACCAATAATATTGTTGATTCTTCTTTGGATCTCATCAAGGAGTTCTAGATAAATAGCAGGGACACTGGACCATATGTGGCAGCAATATTCTAATCATGGACGAATGGTAGACTTATAGATACGTAAGGTAGATTCTGGAGAGAAAAATTGTCTCACATGACACAGTGAACTGACTTTCTTAGCAGCGGACATAGCAATGGATTCAATATAGTCTTTCCACTTCATGTCAGCTGAGAATGTTAGCCGGAGAAGACAACAAATCACTTTCCTGGAGGTTAACATCAGCTATGCTGATGGAAGGCAGAGAGGGTTAATGGAAAGAAGTTTAGTTTTGGAGGCATTAAAATTAAACAAGCCATCTTTTGTCCTAGTTAACAACAGACTTTTGGTTGTTTTGGACATCAGCTGCCATTTTGATCTTGTTGGACTGATCAACATTACTATTGAGGCAAGAGTAAATGGTTGTGTTGTCAGCATAGGTGCCAAGTTGAGAAGTGATGTCATCAGGAAGGTCATTAATGAAAATTAAAAATAGAGTAGGCCATTCTGAATAACTTTTGTTTTGTGACATTATTTTTATAAATACTCTGTTCATGCCATATTATAGAAACTACATCAATCCCAAGTTTTTGAAGGAAATATTTTTGTTTGTTAAATTAAAAGTGAAATCATCTAACAACAGCAAAAGAGGTATCATATGGTCAAGAAATTTCATAAATACATTCAAGTGAATTATTGCAAAGTAGGTTTATTTTGCAAGATGTCAATCCTTGTTGCATTATTTAATGATGAATTTTGTATGGAGCATTCAGTGTGGATCAAACTCACTACTTAAATGGTCAACCAGACTAGCCTTGCTAACCAATATCCCATGCAAAGATACCTATGTTAGAGTTGTTGAAACAAAGAATATGTTTACAAATAACTCCAGATATACTGTCCAATCTGATAATAGTATCTAAAGAGCAATACTTTGATATCTTTTCTTACGAACATAGATTTATACCTTTTGCACCATTCCTTCAGTTGACTTCAGAACTTTGGTATCATTTTTTCTAGAATGCTTTCGTTGTTTGAGTAATTGTGAAACAAAAAACTGCACTTTTGGATCCGATTTATCAAGCAGATCAAATAAGTAATCCTCCATATCTTGATCGCCCTCCATAGCAATTATATACCTGGAAAAAATAACAAATGAATAAGATAATTTGAAATAAATAAATAAATAAATATATATATATATATATATATATATACACACACACAAAGATATAATTAAATACTTCAAATGCACAAATCAACAAATTGTTAAGACAAAATGTTAGATTTACTTCTGTGTTATTGAAGTTACAATGAATGACTTATTCTTAAACAAATTTATACCTCAAAAAGCATTTTATAAATTATGGTTTAAAACAATTATTTTTTAAAAAAATTCTACTTTCAATGCATCTTTAGGAAAAAAATAAAATACTTTTATAATATATTCTGTTGTTCAACATTAAACTGCCTATCTTGTTTTATATTTTTATTGTTAAAGTGTTTTTCTTCTAAAATAATATTTTCAGTTTAAATTTTATTCTTAAATAACACTGGATTTGCTTGTGTGTAAAAGAGTATTTTATTTTTATATTAAACTGTGTATGCTGATTCAAAAATCAAACTTGTTCTACTATATCAGAATTTTGTATATTGATGGTCATACTAATTCAAATCACATCTTCCTACAAAAATACACTGCTCCACTAAAGCAAAACTCTCTGAAGTCCATATAAAAGAGAAAAATAAAATTTTCAATTCAAACTTTTGTTATATCCAGCATGTGGTTGCAAAGGAAAGAACAAACAAGGACTAAAATTTCAACAAGCATGAATTGACCAATTTTCAGAATATATACATAATACTCAATACCAGCATGCATAGTTGTGTGAAAAGGACTTATCTGGTGTGGATTCACAAGGTATACACAGTAGTACGAGCGGGGTATCATTAGCAGGGTCAAGAGAGTTGAGTTGTTTATCGAGGTGTTAAGCCAAACTGCTCCATGTTGGCGAGGTGTGCAATTTTTATTAGTTGTGGTTTAACAGGTGCTGGCTATTTTGAATGTGGGTAAAGTTGGTAAGGCCTGGAATTGGCCTGAAGCATGATAATGAAGCACTGAGTCTGGTTGCCATTTCAGTGGATGTGCAAGAAAGGTGATTTGAAGGAAGATGAGTTTCAGTAAGGTCTGGAGTTAGTGCGTTTGGCAGGTCAGTTGACCAAGGTCACAGTGGTGATGGAGTCGATTAGCAAAGCTGCAAATCTAATTTTGCCAAGCGTGAGTGCGAAGAGTCTGGTGAAGTCACAAATCTGACTTTACCAATACACAAGGTTTGAGTGGAATGTCTCTGGGCATAGGGTGGGTGTTTGGAGGAGGGTGGGTCTTGAGCAGGTATGTGCATTGGATCAGTTGACTGAAATCATGGCATTAACATCGAGAACCCGTTGGTTTGATTACTGACCAGTTCGCCACATTACATGTCAACTATTTATGAGGGGTTTTCTTTTAAGCAAATCTGATGACTACCAGACATCTTTTTTCTTTGTCAGCAATATTCATGATTGGCTTCCTTTAAATATTGTATTTTTTCTAAGCCCCTGCACAGAAGATGACTTTTTTTTATTTTGGATTTTGCTTTCTTAGTGCTCACATCTGACTGATATGTAGAGTGAATCAGAAAGAAATCTAATTTGTAGTGGCATATAACACTTTCATCCTGAACAACTTTTAATAATTTAATTAGGGAAACCACAAAATGTAAGTATTTTATATACAACTGAAATGTTCACTACTGCTTAAAAGAAAATAACAGAATGTTCAACAGTTCATTTCTTTTTTTTGTTTGGAGATAATTCTTTAAAAAAATATTAAAGAAAGAGAGGGTGAGAAATAATGCAGGAAAAACTTAATTTTGTTTGTTTCCCTGCAGGATGTTGATGCTAACTCCAATTTTGTTTTGTAGTCTTTTTTCTAAAGGAGATGTTTTTGGTTGAACTAACAACAATCTTTTCAGAAAGTGAGTTTTCTTTTGATATATAGAGTGAAGTTTCATAAAACAACTGATGCCATTTCTTTGACTTTTATTTTTTTTTTTTATTAGTTCATTACTCAGAATAGATGTTGAGTTTTTCTATCCTGGCAATCCAATTCCTCAAGAGTCAGCCAAGGAATGGTATATTTTATTACAAATATGATCAGTCACTAAACCAGGAGGTGCCTTCTCTTGATACCCTAAATTAGGATGTAAATATGTAAAGATTTTGCTTAGATAGTTTAGCAACAGAATTTAAATTTGTGTGTAGTATTGAACTGTTTTAGGATATGTTTAACTTTTAAAATTTTTTTGCCAATTTTTTCTTTTTTGCTATTTTTTCCATACCATAAAAAATATCTGTCATCGGATAAAAGTTCAGCTTCAAAGACATTCAAGGAAATAAAAAGAAAAACTTTTAGATCATTTGAGCCCTCTTGTGGAAGATATACTGCAAGAGTAGATACAGACTATGAACAAAAAGATATTGTCTGTTACACCAATTAATCTGTCTAAGTATTGGTGTAAAGTAAGTAGCACTAGGATTGGGGTAAACTGGATTTGCTTGAGCTGGCAGTACAGAATTGATTCACGTTGTTGTAGAGAACTTTCTTGGATCTCATAGAAATGAAATCTATGCTGTTTTATTAAATGGCATGATAACAATGTATCAAAGAATAGAATTTTCAGATGTTTCTTAAAAAGCAATTTCAGAATTTGTCTTTCATAATTACTCCAGCCCATTTTCTCAAAAGTAGCTGAATTCCAGCTGATCTTCTGCACTTAGATTCCTCTTGTGATGTATATTCTAAAGCTATAGCAGAAGTAAATAGAATGAAATCAAAGCCTTTCATATTGTCTCAAGCAAGAATTGTCCTGCTTTAGTGCCTCACTTTCCTTTGTTAAATTTTAATGATAACAGTTTCACTATGCCTGGTGCTTCCAACTTAGCTAAGTTTACTCCCTACACTTGCCTCCTTGTTTCTAATAAGACATGTCAAAGAAGTTACAAAGAAAACTGGAACACATAAGATAATAATAAGAGTCAATCTTAACAAATTGGCTAAGTTATAGAGTGCCTGGATGAGTGGTTCCATTCACTTCGAGAGACAAACTTAAAGATATTTGACATTGGATTTCAAATTGGAGAAGAATTGGTCAGAATCACTGGAGTAAACTAAAACCACAGCCACATTTATGAATGAATCTTTAAAAAAAAAAAAAAAAAAAAAAACAACAACAAACAAAAAGTAAAATAAAGGTGTGGTCAATAGACATGTGTAGCTCACACCCGTATCTTCTAATGACTACTTCTTCTGTTCATTTTTCTAGTGTGACTAAAAATAACCCAGTTTAAATCTTTCTAAGGTTACAGGATTCCTATGGTGCATTAAGTGATCTGTTGCCTTTTTGAAGTAGTTTGGAAATGCCAAAACTGCCAAAATCAGGATATGCTAAGGTTACATCTCCAAGATTGGAGTTGCCGAAAGAAAATAACAAAGAGAATGCCTAGAAAGATTTTGCCTAGAATGCATTTTGATGAGTTTGTAGCTCAAATGCAAAAGAACTAACAGAACTATCCAACAAACAGAATTAACAAAGTTTACAATAAAAAGAAAAAGAAAAAAGGCAAAAATGAAATAATATCAAGCAAGAAAGCAAACAATATATGCAAAGCAAATTCACAGGTAAGAAGGCAAAAAAGTTCAAACTACGAATTGGCATCTCCACACAAAAGCAAGGTTAGACAAGTGAATGCAGTGGTCTGTCTTCTAGAAAAGTCAGATCTGGACCAAGTCATGTCAAACTGTAAACTGGCCTATTTCATTGGCTAAAGGAAATATCCCAGCATGCATTCGTGGACTTCTGCCTATAAAAGGGGAGGGAGGAAATGTTTTGCAGTCATTCCCAAAAGAGATGGGGCCATTCCTGGTCGATTCATTGCACTTAGTCTTAATGGGAGACTGGAATGCAATCCTGGACCACAAGGTAGACAGGAGGCAGTGACCTAGTGGGAGGTCATCGGGCGATCAGAGCTTGGTTGATCTGATTGACTTCGGCTCATCGGTAGATACCAGGTTGATCATACAGGGTGGGAGATGTGGACGTCAGCTCTTAAGTGACCGTCTGTTCGGGTAGCTAGCTACCTGGATAGAATTTTAATTAGAAGAGTCAATCTAGATTTGCTAGATTGTTCCACCATCTAGACTATTCAGATCATAGTCTCATCTGTGCTTGGATGGTGTTAGGTGCTAGGCTGGACACTGGAAGTTCAGTCTGTCTTTATTTGACAGGCAGGACTTCCGGCAACAGCTAATTAGTGCAGCGGGAATTAGTGGGGGCGGTTATTGAGAATAAGTGGTCGGAGAGGCTTAAGGACAGCATTAGGATTTTCACCACCAAATATAGCCGACTCACCTTAGACAGGGCTAAGATGAAGACTCTAGAGGATAGTGTGTCCTGGGTGGAGGCTGGGTAGGATTCCCTAGAGATAGCACTAGCTAGACAGGCTCTGGAGTTTGAGGCTAGCAAGCGTTACCAGGGTCAGGTAATTAGACATAGGTTAAACAAGATGTCTAATGAAGCTGTGAATATGGTTGTAGAATGGCGCAAGGAAGAGATCCATTGAGGTTCCGATTGATACATTCACTAAGTCAATACTCTGGAGAGGCATACTCTGAGATCAACCAAGGGCATGTGTGAGGATTTTTGGCAGCATTTCAAGAGTTGGTTTACCAAGGAACCTGGTCTCAGTAATGATGAGTTTTGCAGCTATTTGGCTGACTTTCCTCAACTGAAGCAGCTAGCTGCAAGGGTGTGTTCACAGAGGGCAAAGTTTATTTCGTATTGAAGAGGGCTGGCAGCAGCAAGACTCTGGGACTTGATGGTCTGCCCCAAGAAATGTACTTGAGGTTGTCACACATCTTCAATTTTGACAGTGGTGTTCAACAACTGGTTCTGGCAGGGGTCCATCCCCAATCAAATTTCCAGGGGTGTGATCACACTGTTGAAAAAGAGCAAGGGTGTTGGGCAGGAATTGGATGACTATAGGCCCATAACTCTGCTAAACACAGAGTTAAAGATTTCAGCCAAGTTCCTGATGGAGC